ACTGAGGGTTGCGATCCGTTGCCGGACACGGAAAAAGACAAAAAGGAAAAAAAAAAAGTGTTACTGAATTAGGAAAGGATTCCAGAGAAGAGCTCCTTGACTGGAGGACATACGTTGGATGTTTATGTTCCATACAGAATAAGAAGGCTGTGTCAGCGGGAAAGTAGGATATGTAGGAGTTTAGGGCCTAGAATGCCACACTGAGAATTTACCCCATAGAGCTGTATAGTGTAATGAAGAATCTAGTCTGGGATCTGAATCCCAGTTCTACCACTTCCTAGGTGAGTTTTGGACTAGTTCCTTAACCTGAGCCTCCATTCCCTTTTTTGTAAAATGTTACTTTGCAAGTTGTGAGAATTTGATGAAAATATAAACAACGCATACAGACCAGGCTCAGCCCCCAATGGCTACTTGGTTATCAGCTATTTTTAACACTTGTGACCAGGAGATTAACCTTCCTAAAATCGTTTTGATAATGTGACAGCAGTAGCAAAATGGAGAAAGGAAGGTGGCTGTGGAGATGGTTAGGGAGCCACTCTGACAGTCTAGCTTGTGGGTAAGTACTCCCCCTAACTAACTGGATCTGAAGTGTTTATGGTGGGTAAACGATCCAGTTAGTGATTTTCCTGGGGACTGTTTAAACAGCTCACACTACTGTAGGCACAGATACTACAGGCCAAGCCCAGCACTTCAAAAATGCTGACACAAGAGATCTTTGTGACTGGGTCTGGCAATGAGTTTTTATTTTTTTATTTTTTTTTGTCTTTTTCGTGACCGGTAAGGGGATCGCAACCCTTGGTGTGGTGGTGCCCGCACCGCGCTCAGCCGGTGAGCGCACCAGCCGTTCCTATATAGGATCCGAACCCGCAGCTCTCTCCCGAGTGCGCCACGGGGTCGGCCCTGGCAATGAGTTTTTAGATATGACATGAAAAGCATGATCCATGAAAGAACAAATTGATAAAGTAAAAGTGGACGTCCTCAAAATTAAACCTTCTTGTCTTTGGAAGATGCTGTGTTTAGCAAATGAAAAGGAGAAGGCTGGGAGAAGATGTAGACAAAGCTTATATTTGGCAAAGGACTTGTATTCGGAATATATAATTCTCAAATCTCAACAAAAACTGATACCAAGTTTTGCAGAGTATGCAGAGCAACCAGGACTCACTGCTTGTGGGAATGCAAAACGGCACAGCCACTTTAAAAACAGCTTGGCACTTTTTTACAACAATTCCACTCAAGTATATACTCAAATGAAGTGAAATCCTATGTGCACACAAAACCTGTACATAAACGTGTATAGGGCTTTATTTGTAACCATCAAAAGCAGAAACAATCTAAATGGGTAATTATCCATGTACCTGGGGAATGGATAAACTGGTAGTCGGCCCTCCATATCCATGGGTTCCACATCTGTGGAGTCAACCAACTGCAGATCAAAAATATTAAGAAAAGATTGTCTGTGTTTAACATTTACAGACTTTCTTGTCAT